CTCAAAATTGCTGAAAGTCAATGCGTCTAGTACGACTCCTTTTTGAACTACAGTAAATCTTTTTTCAAGGCGCTGTCATTCTACAAAGGACTCTGTTTACCTTCCGTTTCACCTTTACAAATTGCATTGTGCCTCCCACAAACAAAGTGGATAGAGAAAGTGATGGATCTAATGATTGAAAAGGGAAAACAGAAGAGGAGACAGAAGTAGGGGGATGAAGAAGACGATGTGGAACAGGCCTAGTCAACGATGGGTCATAATCAAATTGCCGAGGACGTAGGCGTCCATAACGCTGTAGGGAGCTCCCCCTTTGCGACTGACATGTCGAAACTCACTTGGAGGAGTTCGGCTAGGTAAAGTACATCATTACGCTGTAGTAAGGGCAAAACGCTTCGTTAATGCAAAAAAGCGTATCAGTTAGAGGTTATCAAACATTTGATGGCGTAATTAATTTCAGAATACAATTTCCATTTGCTAAAAATGTAGGTGATTGCACTAATTCGAAGTCGTCAAACTATCTATTCCGGGTACTATCGTCCAGTCATTTAAGGCTTGGACAGCAATGGTATTCCTGAGCACTGAGTAACATGATTACGACCTTTAAAAGACCATCTGATTTACTGCTGGGAATTGTGATCCGACAATGGGTCACCTGGGTGAAGAGGGTACTTGCAATTTCTGCTGTATTGGATCTCGTGGTCCCATCCTAATGTCCTGATGTCCCAAGAGCAAAGTATTTATATGTTGAGTTGCAGTTGTCAATTCCCTTCAAGAAGTAAATATTCCAATTGGTACTTAAAGCTCTCTCGAGTTTGTATGCAAACAAAGCCAACTACACATTGCAGTAGAAAATAAGTGTCTTCTACTTCCATACTGATGTGGTTAGATTGCTTCAACTGCCAGACTAGATCGAGCAAGCATACTGATAGTGAGAAGCTAGGTTTATCGGTAAGGATGTTTGATTCCCATGCTAGCATTGAAAAAGTTTTTTACCGAAAGAAATGGAACAATTTCTGGACGTAGTTGACAGCTGCGCAAATTCTACCTCAGCAGCCCATCTCACGTGAGTTTTCACACCGCCGTGGTATTCAGGCTGAAGGTTTCCTTCACCCACACGACTCAAGTTTGTCTCTATAATTCCATTCAGCTAGAAGGGATGTCTCCGAATTTGTTTTAGCCGCCAATATCCTAGAGGTGGGATGGACACTGAAGCTGGATCCGCCGGCTACAAATCTGAGCAATAAGGAGCAATTGGCAGCCCAGTTCTTTTGACACTGCACTCTTGCTGGTCAAAACAGGTTGTCTCGGCCGACTGGGGACTTCTTGCTGATGGCCATTGCATGATCAGTCCAATGTACACCGGTCATAGGGAGTGTTCCTCACTCCCAAGCCACCGTCGCCCCAATGAATACCCAGGACTGTCCACCAGTTTATATTCGTGTCTGTAATGCAAATGGCGACTGCAATTCCTGCATGCCTTTTTCTTCCTCTTTTTTTATTCGGCACAAAGGGTTTGATTAGGCTCTGGTGGTTCATTTTCCCTGACAACTTTAGCAATTCATCGGTAAATTTCTACTGCTTATCATGCCACATAAGTGCCATTTTCGTGATCATCTCTTCATCCCTCCCTTTCTGCACCGCAGTCTTGCAACAAGGTAACAAAAAACTTGAGTCTTACAACACTGCATTCTGTGAAGCAGATTCCCAACACTGACTTCACTTATTCTCAGTTCTGACCTATGAACAGTGGACAGAGTCACTAGTGGCTGGTTCTAGGTACAGAAGCTCTAAAGAAATTGCAATTTTGGTTCTTGCCATAGATTCACAAGGCGGAAGTTAAGTGTAGGTTCCCGTTCATGTCGTGGTCACCAACTTTTTGGTTTGGCAGACAGCCCTTTCTTAAATATGGTCAGTTTATCATAGCATGAACAGCTACCAGTTTCCCTTTCTTTCACTTATTGTAGAGAGGCAGGATTAGGGCCAGAGTGACAAATCCTTTACGACAATGACTGTAAAATTTACCTGCCTCTGATTGTGTCATGGAAACTACACATATACCCAAAACTCTTATAAGAGTGCCTATCCTCATTCATT